CAAATGGTACACCTCTTTCCATAACTGAAGATCAATACTGGAAGGAACATTACAAACTCATTCGCCCATCATATAAGTTACCGTCATGTTATCTCTTATCACGTTCTCTCTTAGATAGAGAGTATGACAGAGTTCAAACAACAGTTATTCAAAGAATTGGTTAAGCAGAATCAGACTCTACTGTCAGATGGATAGACTGATATACAAGGAGTCCTTTATTGAACATTATGTTAGCAACACCTGAACCAATGTTCCTGAAAGCAATTACTACCAAATCTTCTTGTCATACAGGTGAATACATAGCCAAATTACTGAGTGAAGAGCTTGAAAGTGCAGGTCCCTCCTGGGTACAAGCTCTTATAACTGATAATATGACTAACATGAAAGTTGCATGGCAAATATTAAAGGCAAGGTATTCTCATTTACTAGTATTTGGCTGTCTTGCTCATGGGTTTAATCTGGCAAAGGTTAGAGTGAGTATGAATACAATGAAGACAACATTGGCAAGATGCAAAGCGATTGTGAAGGTATTCAACAATCTTCATCATTGCTAATCAGACTTTGAAGAAATTACAGAAGGAGAAGCAAGGGAAGGAAAGTGCGCTTTTATTGCCAGGAGAAACTAGATGGGGCTCAGCTACGAAGTGTTTACATAGTTTGCTGTGCACAAAGAACTGTTTGCAGTATGCTTCAGTAGATGACACAGTATCTCGGATATTCCCATGAACATTCAGAAGCAGATTCTCGACATTGATGCATTAGAGGTTCGAATTCAAGGAGCATTCAATTTACTACCAGTTTCGGTGGCTATCAAAAAACTTGAAGGAGACGCACCAAGCCTTTCAAATATTCCAGAGATATTCAGACAACTGAATGAAAAGCTAATTGAGCTTTTTCTGCCTTCACCTGTATCCGAAAAAGAAGTAGTAAAATGAATTTTTGCTAAGAGAACTGAGTTTTACTGTCATCCAGTTCATCTGGCAGCAAACCTTTTGGATCAACACCAGAGGACAACATTTATCAGAAGATAAATTATCTACTGCTCTCAATACAATTATGGTAGTAGCTAAGAATGTCCACAACATTGATGAAATACTCATGATGACAGACATTGCTGAGCACTGTGCAAAAGAAAAACTTTGGAGCAAAGACATCATTTGGCAGGCAGCAGAGAATATGTCTCCTCTCACGTGGTGGAAGAGATACTGTAACACCTGACTGTTGTCCAGGATTTCTCTAAGGATCCTAAGCATTCCACCAACAGCAGCTTCTTGTGAAGGGAACTGAAAGGCTTTCAGTAGGGTTGTGCAAAATGGCACCATTCCATTTTGCCTTGAGTTTTGATGGTTCGAGGGAACAGTGTTTCGTCTTGAATTTCATTTTGCATCAAAACAACTGTTCTGTTCCATTCCATCAAAACAGAAAGTCTGTTTTGACACTGTTTCTAGTTTTGCTGGGGGTGCCCATTCCCAGTGCTACATAGCCCCGGGGCCGAAGGCAGCCCAGCTGGGCTGCTTCCCGGTATCCCGCTCTACATTACACCAAGAGTGGCAGCCCAGCTGGGCTGCTTTTTCCCCCGGTGCGATGTAGCATGGGGCACCAGGTAGCAGCCCAGGTGGGCTGCCACCCGCCCCCAGCATGATGTAGCACGGGGTACTGGGAAGCAGCCCACCTGGGCTGACCTCCCATCCCCAGCCTGTGGTCAAAACATTTCAACCAGCCTCATTTTGTTTTGAGGCTATTTCAACAGCTTTTGTTTCATTCCAATTTTGCTGTTTTGGCCTTGAAATTTGTTAAAATGGCTGGCGAAATTTCACACAGCTCTAGCTTTCAGCTCAATCAAGACAAAAAGAGAAATAGATTAACAGATGAATGCACTAGTAAGCTTGTTTCTATTTCTCAAAATCTCTTGCTTCTGGAGAATCAGTCAGAAGCACAATTAGTGAAGAAGATGCAGCATGATGATAAGTTGACCTTGCCCTTAGACTCATTGATAAAACCATCCTTTAGTAAAAGAGAATGTGATTCTAGTAGTTCTGAATCAGATTTGCCTCAATCGGATTCTGAAATGGAACTAATAAGTAGTGCAAGTGATTCCAGAGATAGTGACAGTGAAACTGGAGGTGCCACAATGACCTCAGTGGAAGAGAGTTAAACTCTTTTGAAGTAGATAAGTGAACAACCATAGCATATCATGCACAGGTCTTTGGGTGTGCAAAAATTAGTGTCAACAGTTTTCAGTGCCTTCATTTTTTTTCCCCTTAAATTGAAACAAACAATATAAGGGAAGTGTATTGTCTTTACATTTTTTACAAGTATTCCAATAAAAATAATTTCTTTCCACATAAAGCTTTGAATTTGTTTGAATATAACATTTCAACCACATTAAGCATGCTGTATTCATTTTTTTTTCCTAATCAAATATTTCATTTCAAATACTTGTGGCTATTGGGACATTAAAATTAACATGGGAGTATTTTTTGTTTTGTTTACTAATATAAGTCAAATAAACATGCTAAATCAGATCATGCTCTATTTAGGGCATTGGAAAAATTTCCAGAAAACCCACATCTCTCTGCTATGGTGCTATATAACTTGACCCAAAGAGAGACTTATTTATTTAATGCATTTAGAATTACTAGAGGTCTGAATTAACTCTCTGACTCAAAGCTTTTGTGGAGAAGCAATTTTGGGTTTTTTTCTTGGTGGGAGGGGGTTTGCATTTTACATTGGACAAATGGTACTTTTGGGAATGATATTTGGGCACAAAAGGGAGGACACTGACCAGAAGGACACTTTGTCCTCAGAAGTTCATGTAACATTTCTCCCATCCAGACAGTTGGTCCAATAAAAGATATCACCAAAGAAAACCCTTGCTGCTTCCATATTTCCTGGACCATCATGGCTGTGTCAGTACTCAAACCTAGTATAGCATGGGTGAAATGTGATGTCATTTCAGTGGCTAGTAGGTACCTGTCATTTTACCTTGTGACATCTTCTAACTCAGATTATGTATACCACTAATTTTATTATATTTTTGGAGCCCTTGAGCCTCGCTGAGAGGCTGTCGTGAGAAGGTATAGTGTAAGACTATGTCTACAAAGCAAAATGCTAGTTACATAACAAAATTTTCAGAGCTAGTTTAAGTACTGGAAACAGTACAGTTATGTTAGCATGGTGCTCCACCTAAGGCAATTAGAAGCAGATTCAATTAGTACAGCACTCTGCCTAGGATAATGTAACTCACCTCATTTACTATGAGAAGGTATAATGGGATAAGAAAGGATTGACTAAAGAAAAGTACAGATATCATTGTAATGCTCCCAAGCATTAGATGGTGTATGTGTGTAGGTGCATGTGCAATGGAAATATTCAGCTCAGACAGCAGTTTTCTTAGTTTTACCCTCTCAAATAATGTTGTACTGCTGATTTTGTAAATGTTAAACTGCCACATTCTGTGTGTCTGTCAACTGCCAGAGTTGTAGGTTGCAATGATTCTTTTATGTGCATTATCACAGAACAGTAGAGTCTGAAATTTTCTGAATCAGAAAGTGCCACTGTTTTTTAAAGAAGGGTCAGAAAGAATTTTAAAATAGCAAGGCAATTTCTTAGCTCAGGATTTCACTCTTACCCCATAGAGTGGGGTTGGATCAGTCAGCACAAAGACATGTATGCCTGATAACCTTGCATAATATTTGTGGCTGCTTGCAGATGTTAAAAAAACCCCAAAACACTCTTTACCAGAAGCAGCAGCACATTACTTCAACATAGTTATGCAGCTTCTATAAGATCAGGTGCTTCAGCAGAGCTTTTTGTCACTTTTAGCTAAAGCTGATTCAATCAGTTATTAGACAAAAGCACCAAAAAGGCCCCACTAAAGTGCCCAGTCTTTAGACATCAAGCAAGCTGGGTTGAAGTAACGCACTGTCTCTTCTGGGCATGCACAGGGCTTGGCACAGAAAGCGGGGCAGGTGGATGGCACTTCTGGGCTTGGTGTCCAGCAGCGTGGGACCCCCCACCCCCTGCCGCTGACACCACCACGGGCACCCATGAACAGTCCCCGCTTGGCCTGCCCTCGTCGCCAAGACCCAGGTTGCCGCCTGCAGGTAGTCGCCGTGCCCCCCCCCCCCGCCTCAGGAGGCATGCATCACCTATAGCGCCAAGTTTAAAGTAAAGTGCCATTTTTGTTTTTGTTTTTTATGTCTGCAAGCACCCTGTATGGCTGGCTGTCAGAAAATATCTTTCTAAGGTTTCAATTGGCTTCTAGTCATGGTACAAATACAAGAGCCTCCTGAATTTAGGATTGCTAATTCATGACATATTTGTCAGCCATACAGGGGTAACACTAAAATTAAAGAGCAGTATAGTGGTGTCACCTGCAGTGCATTGTCATCTGGAATGATTAGTATTGTGATTACACAGCCAGCAGGAGGACTTTCAGTTCCAACAGATGTGAAGGAACACCTTAAAGAGAGAAAATGAGAGAATAGATGCAAAAGGTATCTAAGATATAAAACACGCAATACTAGTCATATTAAGTAAGCTCTTGCTTGAGTTTGAATATTACTAATTTATGTAATCATGCCACTGTTGTGACAGGAAAGGTTTGGGGTGAATTTGTGGGAGGAGTGTTGGTGCATGAGAGTTTTTAGAGGGGTTCCCTATATGGGTAAGTTTGGAACCATATTACTGCTCTCTTTTTCTGAGCTCACATTTTCCAGTGTTCATTCAAATCTGAAAATTTACTCCTATTTTTAACTTTATAGTCACTTGAGCTTTAAAATTAGCTTTAAGATAATGGAAAGTGTTGACATAAGGATGAAGAAGATTGTTCAGTACTGCTTAAGTAAGTATAGGAGTAAAGCGTATAGTTTTTAGAAGACTTCATCGGTCTTAAATTAAGTGTGCTTGTATATGAAATTACACAGAAAACAAGTCTTTTGAAACATTTGCACATTAATAATAGAGAAGGTTTATGATTATATTATGCTTTCTTTCAGTCTCCTGCTGAACAGGCCAAAGCTAGATTACAGCTTGTTCTTGAAGCAGCTGGTAAGTAATGCTACAGACATACCTAACACAAGGAAATATTACTGAATTTTTGTCATTTTCAGTATTGAATTGGATGATGCGTAGATTTGGAATAAGGGGGTGAGTTTGGGGAAATTCTTAAAGGTCCAGAATTCTTAAAGGTGTGGAATTCTTAAAGGTCAAAATTTTAGGCCTGAACTACATTTTCAGTTCTTTTTAAAGGTACTCTTATTCTGTGCCATATCATATAATCTAGACAGTAGGGATGTGGCTTCAACAAGCCACAAGAATTAGTAACTTAATTCATTTGGGAATTAACCAGCAACTTATGCAGGTCATCTTTCCTTCCTTTCTCCTTTAATTTAATGAGAGCTAATGTCAGCTCTAGTGTTACACAGCTACACATTGGTTGGGGCTGTCCTATGACAGATACCAATGCTCAGTTGAGTGTTAGAATCCAGCATGGGGCAGCCCCAGTGTCTGGGACACAGCTGTCCCTTACCCAGTCAGACTTGGGATGGAATCAGTTCCTGGCCCTCAGGTCCTTACCCAAACTCCTGGAAGCAGATGTCGGTGGTGTGACTGTGGTGAGCTTCATACTGGGGATCATCTCCCTGATCTTGGGCTAACTGCACCCCAAATCTTTAAAAACAAAGTGTGTAACTGGGCTGTGCACATAATTTTCTAACATCTTTGGTTTTTGGGGACCCTGGGTTCAGGTTTGTGTAGGCTGGGGGTGCGCAGGGCTGTGCTGGATTGAGAATGGGAGGGACTGAGCCTAGGGGTGGGCTGCTTAACAAGGCTTGGTGAGCTTTTAAGGGTCACATGGGTAGACCCACTCCTTGACAGTTGCCCTGCCTCGTGCTCACCATTTTAGGACTGGAAGCCCTGCCCCTGACCTTTGCGACTGGAAATCTCTCCTGTTGCCCCTCCCCGCCCTGGAAATACTCCTTTTGGGAGAGGAGGTTTCCATCTTAGACCCAGAAAAAAAATCATACACTAAAAGTCAAACACTTACTATAACATTTTAATTTTATTACAAACAATATTTTTGTCGTGATTTGTTTGTGTACCATATATAGAGATGATTGTATAATAACAAAAATAAATTCTTAGTCTTGTGTATTGTCTGGGGGGATGTGGTTGGGGGTATGTGTGTATGGTAGGGTGTGGGGGGCTATGAAGGGGTGTGACTATGTG